AGTTAAACTGTTGGTATATGATACGTCAGGTGCATATTTTTAGAAATATTAGTGTTCTTTATAGGTAGTAATTTTTGTCAAGGATTACGAAATAGTATTATAACAAAATAATTGCCCCACAAATCTTTGAATGAACACAAATATAACATTTAATTTAAAGATGCAAAGTTCAGATAATGTAATTTAGAGTTTTGTGCTACTCCAAGTGATGTCAGTTGTTAACCATTAGCTGATGGTCCTTAGGGTGTTACCAGGAAAGAAATGTTATGTTTCCAGGAAAGAAAAGTTATGACCACTGGGTGCAAATATTAGCCCCCACCTTGTCCACTTTTCGGAAAGACCTGAAGATGTGGATGTTCCAATGAGCCTTCAAATAATGGTTCAACTACTGATCAAGTCTGCCTTTTGGTAGGACTTTATTCCCACTTTATTCCCAGCCCCTGGCCTTACAGTTTATATTGCACTATCCTATCTTGCCCTATTCGTCTCAAACCTGCATGTGCCCACTTTCTCAGCCATTGGTTGTTTGTTGTTTGGTTATGTTTCATGATGTCTTTGGTTTTATTGTTTTAATATAGTTGATTGTTCTATGTTTTTAATTGTGTTACTTTGCAACCTTTTTTATATCGGGCTTTGTCCCCATGTAAGCCTCCTCAAGTCCCTTTGGGGAGATGGAGGCGGGATACTTACTTACTTAGGCAATCCCTTGTAGCTCGAGGATTATGATCTTCCAGATGTGATGTCTTGGTGGTGGGTCCATAGGTGGCTGTGGAGCCCTATTCTTGATCTGCATGTTCTCCCGCAGTGAGGACATCAGTTTCCAGATGGAAGGTGATCCCAGTCAGAGTTGACTTGATATGCTTTCCTCTTGGCACATTTCTCTCTTTCTCCCTCCATTCATGTCTCTTTGAATTCTGCAGTACTCTTGGTCAAAGCTGATCTCCAGTTAGAGCACTCAAGAGCGAGATATAAGAATAAAGTTATATTATTATTATTGTTGTTATTATTATTATTTTGCTGACACAAAAACACAGTATGTCACAGCAAACAAGATATATATGCTGGATTTTGTATCACAAAATCACAAGTCAAACATTTCCCAAGCGTCTAAGACTGTGTGATGTATTTTCGAATGATGCGTGCAGATCCAAGTAAGATGGTGTTGTTGTTGTTGTTGTTGTTGTTGTTATTATTATTATTATTATTATTATTATTATTATTATTATTATTAAATTGTGCCAATATCCAGATCATTGGGATGGGGAAAAAACTGATGCTTCACATCACATTAGAATTTTGTACTGGTCCTACATTTTCAGGGAACCCACATCATTGAGGCCCCATCTACATTGTCATACACTGCAGCTTCATAATGCAGTTATATGAGTCTACACTGACAAATAATGCATTTAACCCCCTCAATAGATTGTCACCTTGTCGTGGTAAGGGAGCTTTCGTGTTCCAATGAATCTGCGGGTGTAACCACCGGAGTCATGCACTCCCAGGAGGAGCCGCAGGGGAGGTTCCAGACCAAGCACAATCTGAAGACCTCAGGCAGAAGACAACATGGTACATGTTACAATGGCTGTGAAGGTGGAAGAAGGCTGCAACAGATTGGGAAGCCACTGTCATCATGTTAACCATGCCACTGGTTGGGACCATCATTCTGTGAAGACCATGTGTTGATCGGCCATGCACCGACCTCCACGCATTATTAAAAGTCATGCACAGGCATCTTCCAAGAACTTAGAAGGTCATCAAACTTGGACAATGAGGGATCGCTTAAGAAGAATAATGCAGTCCGATGCAGTTAAACTCTATCATGGAACTGCATTATATGGCAGTGTAGTTGGGGCCTGAGAGCCATGGCAGTTGCAGTGGAATAAAACTGATGTACAGATACTGTCAAGGTATCTGACAACATCTTGTAAAAGTGGTTGGGAACAATCAGTTTGAGGAAGTATAACACAAGGTAGATAGAACAATTGTTATCCTGATAATGCTAAGAAAGAAAACAGCTATAGCAAAGTGTAAGGAGATGTATGTATAAGGCTGAGAATTTAAATATTGCTTTCAGTTTTCCCAAAATACCGAGGTGGGCAGTCTATCAAAGTGGAGAAATCAAACATCAACAATCCACGGAGTAACATGTTTTATCAACCCAAAGACATATACAGTTCAATACATACTATGCTTATAGGGCAATATAGAGGGCCCTTAATTGTGTGGTAATACATTTAATTGACATTTCTACAAAATTATGAAGTTATCTGAAAAATAAACCTCTGATGAAATTAAGGGTGTAAATTACACTCCAATTATATATTGATACACCATAGTGGGGCATTTAAGAAACTGGACAAACTCTGTATATGTGCCTTCAAGTTGGCTGTCAACTTGTGGCAGCCCCATGAATTTCATAACATTTTCCTAGGCAAGAAATACTCAGAGGTAGTTTTGCCATTTCCTTCCTCTGAAATATAGCCGCTAGAACTTACTATTCACTGACAATCTCCAATTCAAGTACTAACCAGGACTGATTTAGCTTAGCTTCCAAGATCAGACAGAATGTAGTGGCTTTAGGGTCTATAGGTGCTTGGTCAAACCAATCTGGATAATATTTTCTCAAACCACAGCAACTTGGTAAATGTGTACTAAGATACCAGATTTGTTACTCAAATTACATACTGCTTAAACAGTGGAGTATAGTATAATTATATTCATAATGAAATCTTCCAGAGTGCAGATTTGTTTCAGAGGACACTAATGCTTTCCTCAGAGCCATTATCTGCTTATAATCCCATACTTATGAGCCTACTTATTTATTAAGCCATTCTTCAGCAAAATCTTAGACTGTTTTGCAATTTTATTACTTCAAATAAAATGTCCCTAAAATAACATTACTTCTACATAGAAATAATTATATTGGCATTCAGTGGAACTTACTCCTAGGTAAGTAAATATAGAAATCCAACAAGTAGTTCCTTCATATTTGTTATTCACATTTTGATATAATTCAGCCAAATCCCATTCTCTTTACTTTTAATCAATCTCTACAAATGATTTTTCAGATTTTTTTCCCACTATGAAATGCGTTTGAAAATATATTTTGGTATACATGGCAACAATTAGTTTACAGGGTGACAAAATCTAATAACTTCATCCGTTTGTTCTCTAGAAAAAAAACTATAAAGGTATCACAAATTTAAAGGAGGTTTCAAAGTGTTAGAATCTCGATTGAAAGAGGATTTTTTAGGAACACCCTCCTTCTCATAAATGGTTTTAGGCATCGCAGTTATTTTAATCTCTGCCCCAACAAAGACATGCTTTTTGGCATAAAAGTTACCAACGATTTGTCCACTGCATGATATTATTCTGGAATCCATCCTGTTGCTGCAGAATTAGCATCCAGACACCAGAGAGATGATCCTACCTAATACTGGATTCATTTTATAAAAATGTCATCTGCTATGTTTTCCTGTGACATGGAAGCTAATTTAATATGTCATAATGAGTATATATAACAATAAAATAGTCATTGACCCATCCTCTTATTTTATCTGGCCATACTCACAATATCAAATAATGTAGTAGCCTAGATCCAGTAGAAGATACTGTTTTGAAGCACATTTATTTTGATCAGAGCCATATGACTGACTTGAACTGACGCCATGATAGAATTCAGATTGCCAGAAGTTAAATCATTATTTTCTAAGATCCATTGTTAATCTCAATTAGAGTTAATCCATTGAATCAATGAAATTACTATTGATTTGATAGTTTGCTCTTCTTGGGACTATTATTGGATTTAAGCCTAAAATATTATGTCACAAATCTAAATCACTACATTGGAAAAATTAACATAATTTCATTTTTTAAGATGCTGACAGTTGGTCAGATTTTAATCTGCTGTTTTCCAGGGCCCTTTGAGACAGGCCAAAAATGTGAGACTTGTCATGTCTCAGGGAAATGCAAATTTACTGGGATTTCCCAGTTTACTCCAGATTAATAAAACACCTGGAAAGATCCGGACCTTAATGCAAGGTCCGAATTTTTCCAGGTGTAGCCCCGTGGGGACTGACTCTCAGGATCGGTTCTGTGATCCCGGGGGTCAATTCCCACTATGATCCCCATCATTCACCCTCCCCTTCCCCCCCCCCCCATTTATCCCAAAAGCTTATGTGAGGAGCCTGGCTGCATGCTCAGGCCCCTCCCTTGAAAGCTCCTGGCCTGTGAAAATGATGTGTCATTTTCACACACCAGGAGATATCACCGGAGGGTCCTGAACATGCAACTGGGCCCCTCATGTAAGTTTTTGGGGTAAATGTTGGGTCTGGGGGCTGGCTCCATGCCCTCCCGGGTCAACTTCTTGTTGAACCAGGAGGGCATGCAGCCATCCCTCAGGGAAAGCCGGGGTTTGGAGTGAGTGTGGGGCCTCAATCCTGATAGGCATATAATATCTCAGTTCCTCCTGCGATTGAGGCCTGTCTGGAAGGGGTCACAGTCTTCTTATATATACACCCTTTATAATTCATGTCTTTAGATATATAGTACACCCCTGGGGTTTGCTTTCAGGACCCTTGCAGATACTGAAATCCATGGTTGCTGAAGTCCCATTATATTCAATGGAGTTGTAAAATTGTGTCCCTGATATTAGATGACTGATTCAAGATTTGCCTTTTGGAACTGATATGTGGAAGGATTTTCAAGCCATGGGTGGGTCGGTCCAAGGATACAGATTCTGCAGACACAATGGGCTTATTTATTTATCGTGTCAATATCAACCAGACAATTGTATTACATTTTAAACAAATTTTTAACAAATAGACAAAACAGAGTTTGCAAGCTTGGTAGTTGATTAAATGTCCTTTGACCAGTAGCTGGCCATTTGGAGTGCCTCTGGTGTGGGCTGCCTATATGTGAAGATAATGAGGCAACGCTAGAAATTCTCAGAAATTGTGTTTATGTAATGCTCTGTGTGTCTATTTGTTATATTTCAGGCTTGCGACCGAGATTTGCAGTGTGATGGAGGCATGTGCTGTGCCGTCAGTCTCTGGATTCGAAGTCTGCGGATGTGTACACCAATGGGCGACTTGGGAGAGGACTGTCATCCTTTGAGTCACAAAGTAAGTGTGTTATTCTGGGACCTCATGTGAGACTATAACTGACAGGGTAGAAGGAAATGTGGATATATTTTGTTGTGAAGTCAGACTACATAAAATAGTACCCATTGCAAAAACGCAAGAAGGTATATATTATCTAGGAAGTTTTCTTTTTATGGAAATAACATCATAGGAACATACGCAAATAAATATATTACTGTCAGTATTATTCTGTAAAAGATTTAAGATAATAAAGGTTCAGTGTTTTTCATCTGTATTACAGAGTATGAATGGTGTTTTGCATGCCATTGTCTCAAGTGATGCTGTTGATTTTTGGAGCTATTACTTTTTTGAGTGGGCAAATTGTTCTGATGCTCACAGCTCTTCATTTTGAAGACACATTTTTAAAAGAAACTACTAAAGACATAAAATCAACATTATAACATCACATGGATTGGATATTGCAGCTCTTCTTCTAAGCTTGATAGCCTGCTTTTTCTTCCAGCTTCTAATTGCCAGTCTCTAAACCATGTTTTTACAGTCTGTTCCAGTCATGTCTATGATATGTTTCTAGTATATAAATTTACACAGCATTAGTCAAAAGGATTTCACAGAGCATTGATGCTATTACAGGCAACTAAAGAAGTCTACTTACATAAATAAGTTCTTTAGACTCCCTGGGTTGGATTCAGACTGTGTCAGCTAAAGTTAACACCAACTCAGATAAATGGTACTGATGTTATGACTAACTTGTGCCATTACTTAACTAAGTCTGGAATATAGATCTAACCTATTAATGTAAGACTTTAAAACACTTTTTGATGATGCTATTTAAATACATTCTCTTATGACAGTGGTTCCCAAACTTTTTTGACCAGAGACCACTTGACCAGGGACCACTTTGACCAGGGACCACTTTCCAACTTTAGTAGCAAAAGGGTTACGAATCTTTGATCAACTTTAGATTTGGTTTGGTTATTTGGGGTGCTGATTCAGAAAATTGCATTGGATAAACCACATCGGCTCTAGTTTCTGATACAGGACATATCTGTGCTTGCCCACAGAAAACCATATTTAATAATCTAGAGCTAATGTGATAGTAGTATTCTTTTGTGGATAGTCAGCCTCTCCCTTCCCAACATCCCCATTTCCTTGGCACTAGAAGAGGGTTTCGTGAGACCAGTAGCTCTAATTGCTGCATGGTTTCGAGGCAATAGTATAGTAATGGTGAAGCCGCAGACCATATTTTTGTTCTTGCGAACCACTGGTAGTCCACGGACCACAGGTTGAGAACCACTGTCTTATGGGAATAGAATCCAAATCTAAATTTCTACTGCCTAGCCATTGTCAACAAAACAGGTAGAAACGATCTCTTGCAACTATGTATAGATCTCTTTTTTCCACCATACCTATTTATTGCAATCAGCTTTTAGCTGTGCTTTTAAAAAAATTAAGCTAGTATGGAATTATATATAATGTAAAAAAGCATAATGGAGCATGTACAGATGCTACTCTTACTTATTTAGCAACTGCACAAGAAGACATGCACAAGAAGTGGAAAAAGGGAGAAATCACCTGTGCTAAGACTCAAAAAGAGACATGCACAAGAAGTGGAAAAAGGGAGAAATCACCAAAGAAGAATTCAAACAAATAGCCAACACCTGTAGGGAAAAGGTCCGCAAGGCTAAAGCAGAAAACGAGCTCAGACTTGCCAGGGACATTAAAAACAATAAAAAGGGCTTCTATTCTTATGTCAGTAGAAAAAGGAAAAACAAGGAGGCGATAGGACCTCTTCGCGGAGAAGATGGGGCAATGCTGACAGGGGATAGGGAAAAGGCAGAACTACTTAATGCCTTCTTTGCCTCGGTCTTCTCACAAAAAGAGAGTCTTCAACCTCAGCAAGATGGAGTGGATGAGGGATTGGAGGACATCCAACCCCAAACTGGGAAAGAAGTCGTCCAGGAATACCTGGCCGCTCTTAATGAGTTCAAGTCCCAGGGCCAGATCAACTACACCCCAGAGTATTGAAGGAACTAGCGGAAGTCATTTCGGAACCATTGGCAACCATCTTTGAGAGTTCTTGGAGAACGGGAGAAGTTCCAGCAGATTGGAGGAGGGCCAATGTGGTCCCAATCTTCAAGAAGGGAAAAAAGGATGACCCAAACAACTACCGTCCGGTCAGCCTCACGTCGATACCAAGATTCTGGAAAAGATTGTTAAGGAAGCGGTCTGCAAACACTTAGAAACAAATGCAGTCATCGCTAATAGTCAACATGGATTTATCAAAAACAAGTCATGCCAGACTAATCTGATCTCTTTCTTCGATAGAGATACAAGCTGGGTAGATGCGGGGAATGCCGTGGATGTAGCGTACCTGGATTTCAGTAAGGCCTTCGACAAGGTCCCCCATGACCTTCTGGCAAGGAAACTAGTCCAATGTGGGCTAGGCAAAACTACGGTGAGGTGGATCTGTAATTGGTTAAGTGGACGAACACAGAGAGTGCTCCCTAATGCTTCCTCTTCATCTTGGAAAGAAGTGACAAGTGGAGTGCCGCAGGGTTCCGTCCTGGGCCCGGTCCTGTTCAAAATCCGTCCGGCGGAGCTGTTTCGGATTGTCAGAGGTCTTTTAACTCCCCCTACCTCAGGTGGGAGCCCCGACAATTCGGCCACGCGCTGTGAAGCATTTGCTCGGTTCTTTGCAGACAAAGTCGCTTTGATCCGCTCTGAGCTGGACGCCACATTAAATGCAGTCTCTGTGGATGTGACACAAGCACCTGCTTGTCCTATTTTGATGGATTCTTTTCAGTTTGTGAAACCCGAGGATGTGGACAAGATACTTGGAGGAATGAGGCCCACCACGTCCATCCTAGACCCCTGCCCATCCTGGCTTCTGAAGGAGGCCAGAGGGGGATTGGCTGAGTGGGTAACGGTGGTGGTTAATGCCTCCCTTCGGGAAGGCAAGATTCCAGCGTGCTTAAAACAAGCTATATAAAACCGCTGTTGAAGAAACCATCATTGGACCCCACTAAATTTGACAACTTTCGGCCTGTTTCCAATCTCCCCTTTTTGGGCAAAGTCATGGAAAGCGTGGTGGCCTCACAACTCCAGGTATTCTTGAGAGACACGGATATTCTGGATCCGGCACAGTCTGGTTTCAGACCGGGACATGGTACCGAGACGGTCTTGGTCGCCTTAGTGGATGATCTCCGCCGGGAGCTAGACAGGGGGAGTGTGTCCCTGTTGGTGCTCCTGGACCTCTCAGCGGCCTTCGATACCGTCGACCACGGTATTCTTCTGGGACGCCTTGCAGAGATGGGCCTTGGGGGCACCGCTTTGCGGTGGCTCCAGTCATTTCTGGAGGGTCGTACCCAGAAGGTGTTATTGGGGGACTCCTGTTCAACACCACAGCCTTTGACCTGTGGTGTTCCTCAGGGTTCCATACTGTCCCCCATGCTGTTTAACATCTACATGAAGCCGCTGGGTGAGATCATCCGGAGTTTCGGGGTGCGGTGTCACCTGTACGCAGATGACGTCCAACTCTGTCACTCCTTCCCACCTGCTACTAAGGAGGCTGTCGAAGTCCTGAACCGGTGCCTGGCCGCTGTGACGGTCTGGATGAGGGCGAACAAACTGAAATTAAATCCAGACAAGACAGAGGTACTCCTGGTCAGTCGCAAGGCCGAGCAGGGTATAGGGTTACAGCCTGTGCTGGACGGGGTCGCACTCCCCTTGAAGGCGCAGGTTCGCAGCTTGGGTGTGACCCTGGACTCATCGTTGAGCCTGGATCCCCAGGTTTCAGCGGTGACCAGGGGAGCATTTGCACAGCTTCGGCTTGTGCGCCAGCTGCGCCCGTATCTTGGGAAGTCTGACTTGGCCACGGTGGTACACGCTTTGGTCACATCCCGCCTCGACTACTGCAACGCTCTCTACGTGGGGCTGCCCTTGAAGACGGCCCGGAAGCTCCAGCTAGTCCAGCGCGCGGCAGCCATGTTGTTAACCGGAGCGGGACGCAGGGAGCACACAACGCCCTTGCTGTCCCAGCTCCACTGGCTGCCGATTTGCTACCGCAGGGGGTTGGACTGGATGGCCCATGAGGTCTCTTCCAACTCTTTGATTCTATGATTCTATGATTCTTACTACTTAGCAACTATTTGTTCCAATACATGTTTACAATGATAGGACATGACATCTAGAGCAGATGAAAGGATTTCAACCTTTGACTTGGAATCCTCCAATCTGAAATTAAGGTCCCAACTACATGGGATACATGGGCTATAATGTATGTAATGCCACTCCTGTTGGGAATCATTTTGCTCTTCTTTATGAGATTGTGCTACAACAGAAGATTCCCAGGCTCGTCTTACTATACCTCTCTAGATGGTGGTATCCAAATGTTGTTGCACTGCAACTCTTATGATCTACCCACATCCAATGGGTATACATTCTAACAACAGAGAGCCACAGTTGCCCATCACTCCTCTATATGGAAGATTTGCCTCCATTCCAGAAAATAAGAACTGTAGTCACCTCATAAGTTCCATATGGGTGTACTCTTGAAAAAGCATCAGGCAGAGGAAGAAATGCTACTGATGATTTTCTTGAAACTAATGGCATTGCTTTGTGCCATTTATGGCTTCACTTGTGAAACCATTAACTGTGCTCTAATGTTATGCAGTTCTTCAAGTCTTGAAAATGAAATGGCTAGTGGCTGATGTATTGAGAATTTCATTTTCCTTTAAGTAGTATCCTTAGAGATTATCAACTATTAAAAATGCCAAATGCTGAAGTTCATTGTTCATTGCAGATCATGTACAAAGCAGACATCTGCAGTTTTATCTCACTGTCATACCACTATATTTAAACTCAGTCTCTAAGGACAAGCCTAAATTGAAAGCATCTCTGCCTCTCCATACTAGATTTGCTATAGGCATTCCTTGTTAAATCAAACATAGAGAGCTTGTGAAGTGGACCACCAACTGATAAAAGCGGATCGGAAATTATTAAAGGCATATCGTCCAATTTGTAGGGTTTAATGGTTCAAATTTTAGTCCTTCTGGCAAAACATGAGACTTCCATTTAACCCATGCTGTTGTACCTCTGTGTGGGCCAATGGATGGAGAAGCCTTAAAGGGGCTGTTCTTATTAGCCAGAGAAAGCTGGAGAGGAGCTGGACTTTACTGGAATAAGGATTATATTCTTTTAAACTTAAATAAAGTATTAAGCTTGTCAATTCTGTATTTAGGCAGAAAAATAAAGCCAATGTGAGCTGCCAATTTTGTACCTCGTTCTTTTGAAAGCTACTATAAATGAATATGGCAAACACAATCACAATTTTAGTCCCATTTTTTTAGCACAATACAAATTATAAATTAAATTGAAAGCATATTCATTATCCCAGAATTTCTTTGCATCCAATAAGATTTGGAGAACTTTTCTACATATGATGGACAGTAAGATTTCAAATTTTGATGCAAACCCTCAAGCCCTAAAAGATGGAGGTGAACATATGTAATAGATGTCCTTCTGTAAAGACTTCATATTTTTGTCCTCTCTTAAATGTATAATTGAACATCCAACTGGCTTATTCAAGATGAGAGTGGCCTAATCCTTATCCCTGCTTATAGCAGCCTTAAGCTGCATCTACATTGTAAGATTACTGCAGTTTGACACCACTTTAACTGCATGGTTAGTTTTAGTTTGGTGAGGCACTAATACTCCTTAGCAGAGAAGGCTAAAGACCTTGTCAAATAATGACTCCCACAATTCCCTAGCACTGAGCTATGACAGTTAAAGTGATGTCAAGCTGCATTAATTCTATAGTGTAGATGCACTCTTTAGTCCAGTGGTTTCCAACCTTTTTTTGAACGGGGATTACTTGACTAGGGACCCCTTTGACCAGGGACCACTCTCCAACATTAGTACCAAAAGGGTTACAAATCGGTTTTTGGTCAACTTTAGATTCAGTTTGGTTATTTGGGGTGCTGATTCAGAAAATTGCATTGGATAGACATCAGCTCTAGTTTCTGATACAGAACATATGCCAACCAGGAGTCACCATCTGCTCACCCAGAGAAAACCATATTTAATAAGCCTCGGCACTATAAGAGGGTTTTGCGAGACCAGTTGCTCTTGTTGCAATGGTGTAGTAACGGTGACCCGGCAAACCATATTTAAGTTCTTGCCCACAGGTTGGGAACCGCTGTTTTAGTCTATCCAACTAGAATGCAGTCTTCCTCTTTTCCTACCACCTTCTACTTTTCTAGCGAGTCATCTCTTTTCTTGATATGACCATATATATATGTGTGTGTGTGTGTGTAATATATATATATATATATATATATATATATATATGCGTAGAAACATCGTTGTTTACAAAGGGCACTGGAAGTTTCACTGAGAGTTCTTCTAAATATTTGTTTCCAGATTCCGTTCCGTGGAAGGAGAATGCATCACAGCTGCCCATGCTTACCTAACCTGGCTTGTATCCGGGCTTCGCCTAACAAATACAAATGTTTACCAGACTTCAAAAATGAAGATTTCTTTTTTTAGCACACACACACACACACATGGTGAGAAATTTTGTGATGTTGCTTATTTCATGTACTAAAAAACCCTTGTAATAGTGACAAAATTGTTTGCCAGAGGAAATTTGTAAACATACTTTCTCTCCTTGTAAACATTAATATTATTACTATATTTAATAGTGGTCATGGTGATTTTATGCTAGATCTTTATCTGGAGTTTTTTGTATGAACTTGTGACCTACCAGTCTGGATGCATCAGGCACGTACGGCAGACTGTGAGACACCCAGTAAACTTCCTGACTTTCTTGCCTGAGGAAGGAAGGAAGCAGTGTCAAGAAACTAACCGGCAGTCTCCAATGCATGGCATATGGACTGAATTTAGGTTGATGGGTCACAAACTGCAGGCAAGTACTAAAGGAATAGTATGGTGAGCTCTTTTCTCCTAAAATCTGGCTTTTCAAAGAGGGTTTAACAGGTTGCACATCTAGGGCACTGGACATTCAGAACTGCCATGTCAATTTGCATTAATGAACTAAGATTTTTCTGAAAGTACACAGCTTGACTGAAAATATTTTGTACAGCAATATAATGAAAGGAGAAAGGAAGCACATTTAACCATGACTCATTCACTGTCCTGTCTCCTCTCCTGTGAAAGGGAGTAAGACTCCAGAAAGATGTCAAAATCCAGGTAAAACAAACTGGCAGAACAAATTTGGCTCATGGGCTGGAGATTTTAGCCCTGACTTGAGGAATCTGAACAATTACACAATGAATATGAGAAGAGAAAGATTTGTTTTGAATTTTATCTAGTTTAAATTAAGAACTTGTCTGAAACTATATGTATGAAGGGTACTTTCTATTTTTTAAAAAATCTGATAATCTTTGGAATTGAAGTACCCGACTGTCTGTTATGTAAATATATTGATATTGCTATGCAAAAATTCTGTATCAGAATAATGGCAGTATGGCATTATATTTATTTAAGAGTATATTATTATTATTATTATTATTATTATTATTATTATTATTATTATTATTATTGCACAGTGGTCTTTGCTTTTTATTCTACACCAGTTACTACCAACATAAAACTAAGAAATTATACTTGTGGATAAGAATTCTGCGGATAGCAGCAAATGTAAAAGATGCTGAGGACCCTTCCACACAGCCATATAACCCAGAATATCAAGGCAGAAAATCCCACAATATCTGCTTTGAACTGGGTTATCTGAGTCCACACTGCCATATATTCCAATTTAAGGCACATATTGTGGGATTTTCTGCCTTAATATTCTGGGTTATATGGCTGTGTGGAAAGGCCCTTAAAAAGCTTGTTCTTTGCAGTATCCACCCCTCTACCCATTTCCTTAGTATATCTTCCTTAGTATTGATTATTAGCAAATGTGAACTATTTAGGTCAGTGGCTCCCATCTGTTTGCCCACAGAAAACCATATTTAATAAGCCTTAGCACTATAAGAAGATTTTGCAAGACAAGTTGCTCACATGACAACGCTGTAGTAACGGTGAGGCCGCGGACCCTATTTTAGTTTTTGAGGTCCACCGATGATCCATGGACCACAGGTTGGGAACCACTGATTTAAGTAATTATTTTCTCCTAATTCATGAACAGTCATTCTAAGTCTTATAAGTTGTTGTTGTTTTTTTAATTCATATAGAACCTGTCCAAAAGACTGCTAAAATGTGAGAAGTTCCTATGTCAATCAGCAGTTCCACTATGAGCAGTAGTAAGGGTCTAGGGCAGTGGTTCTCAACCTGGGGTCCCCAGATATTTTTGGCCTTCAACTCCCAGAAATACTAACAGCTGGTAAACTGGCTGGGATTTCTGGGAGTTGTAGGCCAAAAACATCTGGAGACCCCAGGTTGAGAACCACTGGTCTAGGGTCTAGTAACAATGATACGAAGGCGCCCCAAGATAGTCTTTGTAGAAAAGTAATCACAAGCAAATTAAAAAGGTTTTTTTTGCAAATTTACCGTTAAGCAACATGTTCTGCATATGGAAAAGCAATGTTTACAAGCTTACTTTCCTGGTGTTAGAATGTTCTTATCATGTGGAATCCCAGAAGTGTTTTGACACTAATATTTTTGATTGCATAAACTGACTGAAATGAATCATAACTTAATTGTGATTTCTCATATCAGTATATTTGCTGACAAACAAAAGATAACTTGGTCAGTTCACCTTTAATAACAAATTGTTCATATAGTGAAGAATTTTATCTAGAAAATCCCTGGATACTAGAAGCTAGACCAAGGATTATAAGAAAGCTGGAAACTCCAGAAGCTTTGCTAGACAACCAATTATGACACCATTGGATAGTGATTTATTATCTCTCCCTGCCTTATTATTAGTTCTAATACAGAATTAGCATATCAGGGTTATTTTACTCTTGAATTGTCTATAATCATCCTGGTGCTTTCCCCCAAATAAAACCATTCATTGGGAATTTTTCTGGTAGTCCTTTGATTAATTACTTCTTTGGCATTATGAAATCATGTAGTACACGCTGATGTGATTTTTCTTCAGCTTTTGAGATGTACCGTATGTTGTTTTCAATATTATGTAAAGAGACTCAGAAGCCCCAACTTACAATAAACATTGAAAAGTGGAACAGCAATATATTTGTTTTTGATTCTTCGTGCTATGCAAAAGCATGTTTAATCATGTGCACTATTTCCCATTGGTCATGTCTTGTTACAACTAAAATTACCTGGCATTAACTGACAAGCTCTTTTTCACACAGCCATTGATTGGTGACTACCAAGTTTTCACTATGGCAAATCATCCATCAATTGAAAGTACAAAACAAAGTGTTCTACTTATTAGGACTCCATGCCAAGTTATTAGAAAAGTAAAAAAAATCATAAAAGTTGAATATTCTTTATCAGATATGGTTGGGATAAGTTGGGATAGCCTGTCCTAAATTAAGAAGCTTCTGCCTAGGGAAAAATATGATAGAAAGATAAGGGAAAAGAAGAGGAAACTAAGATTAATAAGGCAACGAAGATTCAGTAAACACTCTGTGACTGCCACCAAGATGCAGATGGAAGTTGACTCTTTTTCCTTTTTCCTTTTTTTTCTTTTTCTTTTTTGGTGCGTGTATGTGTAATTCATTTTTTTACTTACTTATTTTTATATTTTATTTTATTTTATATTTTATACTTTTTCTTTTCCTTTTTTCCCTCTTTTAAATTCCTACTTTGCTTGACCATATTGTTTTCTCTTTTTCCATGTTAACAGAACTTCTTTCTATATTCTTTTTCTCTTTTTATTTCTATTAAATTCTCAAAAAATTAAAAGAAACATGAAAATGTGAGTAGATAAATAGGTACCACTCCAGCAAGAAGGTAACAGCGCTCCGTGCAGTGGTGACCTTGGAGGTGTCTACAAACAATGCCGGTTCTTCGGCTTAGAAATGGAGGTGAGCACCATCCCCCAGAGTCGGACATGACTGGGCTTAATGTCAGGGGAAAACCTTTGCCTTTACTACATATTGAGATATCTTAGAAATGAGACCCAAATTTAAATTTGATACTCATTTTGTTTCCTATAGACCTACACATATCCTGAAGGTAATTTCGTACGTTACTTAAAATATATGTGTGCATGGAACAAAGTTTGTGGTCATTGAAGCTTCAGAAACAAAAGGTGTCACTATCTCAGCCACCCATGTGGACAATTTTGGAGTATTTTAAATTTTAGAATTCAGGCGGTCATGGTTTAGACCACAAAACACACATGCATGGCCTCGTGGAGGCAAGAGGAAGTCCTGACTGTGCAGTGCTGGCCACCCTAAATGTCTCCTCCCATTATCCTCATCACGGTAGCCTCTGGGAGATTTCTTCCTCCCCCGCCCTCCCCTGGTTCTCTGACCACCTCTTTACTCCAGGTGACAAGCAACTGGGACAACTTATGTTACACCCAGAGGCCACCACAACAGGAAAAGTAGGGGATGGTGAGTACTATGCCACGTCCCTGGACCATCTGAATCTAGGAATAATGGGGTGGATGTGCAATGGTTGAGGCTGGTTCCATCTTTATGCTTGGGCTAGCTATATTGACAGCAGTTCATCATATGATATTCTGGTATCTACCATTTATAGGTTTAGTTAAAAAATATCATTACAAGAAGAAAAAACAAGTTCTACAATACTGTATCACAAGATATACTGTGGGAACAACATGCAGCACTGAAACTTTCCAATAAAAGTGCCAATCATAATATATTCCTGTTGTGTGCCTTCAGTTTTTTTCCAATTTATGACAACCTTACAGGGTTTTCTGGAGCTGAAAGTGTGTAACAAGCGCAATGTCACCAAATGATTCTATGGCTAAGTGGCGAATTGAACATTGGTCTTGAGAATTGTAGTCCAGTGCTCAAACTACTTCACCACACTGGCTCGCATGTTACAGAAACGATCTCCTGATATGTTGTACCCATAGTGATACCTTGACTTAAGAGTTTAATTTGTTCTGTGACAGAGCTCTTAATTAAATATGCCCTTATCTCAAAGTGAATTTTCCCATTATAGAATCATAGAGTTGGAAGAGACCTCATGGGCCATCCAGTCCAACCCCCTGCCAAAAAGCAGGAAAACTGTATTCATTGAAATGCAATAAATTCATTCCTCCCCCACTCCCACCCCCATTTTGTTATGTGTTTTTAAATAGGAAAATGTACCTTATAAATAACAAATGATGTATAATTGCACATTCATGTGGCACAATAAAAAAAGAAAGATCAAAGTATTGTTGAAGGCTTTCATGGCCAGAATCACTGGGTTGTTTTCAGGCTATATGGCCATGTTCCAGAAGCATTCTTACCTGCATCTATGGCAGGCACCCTCAGAGGTTGTGAGGTCTGTTGGAAACAAGGCAAAATGGGGTTTATATATCTGTGGAATGTCCAGGGTTGGAGAAAGAACTCTTGTCTGTTAGAGCTAGGTGTAAATGTTTCAATTGACCACCTTGATTAGCATTTAATGGCCTTGTTTTCAAGGTGTAGCTTCTTACTGCCTAGGGAATCCTTTGTTGAGAGTTGATTAGCTGTCCCTGATTGTTTCATGTCTGGAGTCCCCCTGTTTTTGAATGTTGTTCTTTATTTACTATTATGATTTTTTTTAAATTAATACTGGTAACTAGATTTTGTTCATTTTCAGTAGCTTCTGTGTGTAGTCTGACATGATAGTTGTTAGAGTGGTCCAACATTTCTGTGTTCTCAAATAATATGTCTAGGTTGGTTCATCAGGTGCTCTGCTATGGCTGACTTCTCTGGTTGAAGTAGTCTGCAGTGACTGACATGTTCCTTGATTCATGTTTGTGTAATGCTGCGTTTGGTGGTCCCTATGTAGACTTGTCCACAGCTGTATAATATACAGTAGACACCTGCAGAGATGAGAGGATCCCTCTTGTCCTTTGTTGAATATAGCATTTGTTGAATTTTCTTAGTGGGTCAGTAGATAGTTTGTAGGTTGTGTTTCCCCATCAGCTTCCCTATATGGTCAGTGGTTTCCTTGATGTATGGCAAGAACACTTTTTTTCCTCTGGGTGGATCTTTGTCTTTA